TTGTTCCTCCCCAGGTGCAGGACCCTGCACTTGCCCTTGTTGAACCTCATCATGTTCCTCTCTGCCCAACTTTCCAGCCTGTCCAGGTCTTGCTGAATGGCAGCACAGCCTGCCAGTGTATCTACCACTCCTCCCAGTTTTGCGTCATCAGCAAACTTGCTGAGGGTACACTCTAACTTTATGTTCACGAGCACTGTTTAATCCCAGTGACTTCAAAATATTTGACCGCCTTACTCATCTAACTCTGGCTTGGAGAAATTATTTCAGAAACGCCTCAAGGGTGACCTTGGCTTTAAAAATTAGGATTTACCTAAAGCCATGTTTCAATTGCTACGTTATGGATTGGCGTGTCCAAGCCCCAGCCCGAGGGCTGGCTCTGGCAGCAAGGCTCTCTGCCCTGCCATCCCTACCAGGGCGGCAGCCAGTGCAGACCCCGGGGACAGTGCAGCCTCCCCTGAGCCCTGTCCTGGGGGAAGAAGCCTGCCGGTGGGAGGGGATCATGGCAGGGCTGCATGTGGCTGCTGCTGGGGAGGACTGGCAGGGACCTCACTCCTGCGCCAACTGTTTGGATGCTCTTGTAACAGGGAAGGATGGATCGAGGTTGAAAGCATGAGGCTGGATTTTGACTTGGTCTCCCCTCAGATAACTCAGCAGTTGATGGCTTGTTGTGGGAGAGAAGGCCTGCTCCCAGGGCCGCCTTTGGCAAAAACACCCTCGGTAGGATCCGTCCAGGGTAACGACTATTAAACATCATCCCGGGGCCTCAATTCATGCTGTGCTGAGTATGAAACAAAGATGGGAAAGTAGCAAGTCCTGCTCTGAAGTGTCTCAAATGCACAGATGCAGGCAGACAAGAACCGTGTGGTTAGTATCCCAACTTCAGACCAGCAAGCCTAGCAAGTACCTTATTAACGATCACAGCACAAAAAAAAAAAATACGTGTTTACTAAAAATATGCGAATGACAAAGCGAGGCATCATCTATACGGTGGAGGATCAAGAAGTGGATGTCCCTGAAAGATGGAATAACTGCGCTGGGGTGATGTCCGATACAGCGCAGCGTACAATCAATAGCTTCATACTCTGCCTCTGGAGCCCGAGACAGCGGCTGCTCCCCTGCGCTTACTCCTCTTATGTCTTATAATCCTCCCACAGCCCTGCAGAGACTGCACTGGTCCCTACAAAAATCAATTAAGACTTAGCTGTGAGACTGATGGTGGGATCAGCGCGGTCACCTGTACTACCAGTAACACAGCACTTGCACTGGGGTCATCTGTCCCCTGTATTATATAGAAATTAAAGCTTACTACCTACTGCTTTTCAAAGAATTACATTAATCTTCCCCCATTCACCTGCAAGGTTTATTCCACATAAAGGCATCATTTTGCAAATTGATCAATTTTATCCCAAAAATGTCACTATTTGGCAAAAACTCAATTCTACATGGGAGGAGCATTCATTAACTGTTATTATCATGTCACACAAACATGCCAGGATGTTCCTCAAACAAAACTCTAACATGTTAGTGGTTAAAAAGCTCTAAAGTAGCATGCGACCACAAAAGGAAAGGACAAATTGCAGGGAAAGGTATACAACCTCCAGCTGGAAAGTAACAAGATATTTCTAAAGGAAACTCTTCTTCCTTACAGAACCAAGATTATTCTACAGTGTGTCCTAAATTTCATGCACGGAAGATAGAGAAAGCATCACTTTGTTCAGCAAAGCTAAGAGATGAGTGGAGGGAGTTCTTGCAAAATGTAAAAACTCCAACTGCTGCTGCATAATCCATTCCCCTCTGGGCTTCTCGGGACCTGGACAAGCTTTATGGGCTATGCTCATGGAATGCCTTCAGAAATTAATTCAAACCTGACAGCAGAAACTACCCTACATTAATATTCCATTTCTGAGAAGAGGGAGTGTTCAAATAATTAAACATATGTTTAAATTGTTTAAATTGAAACAATTTAAACATAATGTTTAAATTTAAACATTTTAAACAATTTTTAAAATGAAACATTATGTTATCCAAAAATGAGGAAAGGTTCTTGAATATACAGAGTTTTTCCCAACTCTTCTTGTAGATGGAAGGTAGCAGGCTCTGTACTCTCTATACTGAGACTTTCCACAAGAATACCATAAATTTACCTTAGAACAGTGAGAAACAAAACTTCCTTCCCAAACCAACTGACTACAGGAAGATGACTTCAGGCAATCTGTGAGAGGACAAGCACTTAAAAAAAAACCCCCAAGAATTGTTGTGCAGAGAGCCTGTTCAGCTTTCATGTTTTGCACCTTCATAGATCATCCACTAACTTCCCACACCAACTGAATTTCAAAGGTCACAAGTCCAGTAATGCCCGAGAGAAAACAGAAAGAGCAGATGCAACTATTGCAACTGCAGCTCTTGCCTTCATCAGAGATTGTTAGCAATTACCACAGAGTTACTTTAGTTCACAAAAAACCAAACCCAAACCAAAGCTAACCCTCAAAAAGTAAAAATTAAAAAATAATTATTAAAATTGTTAAAAACTCACTCCAAAAGTATATACTAATCAGAGTTATAAGAAACTGAGCACTGGCTTTTATGTTACATTTTACACACCGTCTCAAAAACCCCAGGAAGTTATGAGAAGTTACTTGTGCTGAGCACAGGATTCATTTACCTACAGAGTGCTTTGCTGAACAACTTCTGAAACTGGTTTAATTTATATAATCTGGATGATAACTGCGAAAAATACCAATGCTATAGATTCTACAAGAAGAATCTAAACATCAGTTCCAGGCATTTAAAAAAAAAAAATTTCTTTCCTCCCTATTCATCACAGTTATCATCATCCTGAAAGTGGATTATGAAAAAGATGTCAGGAATGTGAAGAATTACTACGCATGATTGCCTGGTCCTTGTAGAAATATGTGAGCCACATCTAAAAGTAAAATCACCGTGCCACTGAGCTTTCCACCACTTTGAAATAATACTTTTCTTACTGAAATAGACCTTAAAAAGGGATCTGGAATCCAGATTTCTTCAGGTGAGAAGCAGATGTAATCCTATGAAATGTCTGTACCTACGTCTGTGTGCTGTGAACACTGCTCATGCTCTACAGGAACCATTTCCTCCACAGAGATTATGGCAAAATAACTGGTTCAGAGTCACACCTTGGACAAGTTCTAAGCATTAGAAACTGCAGTTCTCCTTTTTGTAATGCAGTCTGTTATTTTAGTAACCTCTTCCTGCAGAGAAACCGTACAAAGTATGAGGATGAGTCATGTTTACCAAAAGCAACAAAAGCAAATTGGTAATGATGGCAGAAAAAGCAGAAGAAAATGCAGAGAACCTTTCATTGCACCAACAAAGAACACATGAAGAAAAAAAAATAGCAATACCATTAATAATTAATTTTGAAATGTCCTAAGTGTTATCCGTTAACAAAACCTGAGGTAGCTGACAGCCTTCCTATTAAACCCTACATAATTTGCAGCATCTTCTGAACATCAGCAAACACATCTCCACAATACTTCCGCAATGAAGGCAAAACTGCCATCTTCCTTTTTCAAGAAACCAAGGTGTGAACAGACCACAGCTTATCCCGGGTCACTTAAAAAGCCTTCATCAGAAACGGGGGTTACACTCCACAATTCCGAATTCCACCACGGTGGCTGAAGGCTGGAGTGAATGCGAACCATCCCCATCCCAGGGGCTTGGGCATGAGACGAGGAGACAACTCTCCTTGGCTGCTTACATGGAAAAAGGCACTGATGTCTGCCTTCCCGTTTTGCCTGTGCAACAACAGGGGGGACATTCATTCAATGAAAAGTTGATACTTCAAAAAAAAAAATTGCATTTATCCACAGAACATATTCTTCAGCTATGAATTTCTTTGCTATCATGCATATTACAGATGCAAAGTCGTAACAAAAATAGTAAACATTTATATTCATGAGATAGTTATAATGGACCTGACAAAACCTTCTCTTGAACAATGCCCAGAGCTACAAGACTAAGAAAAACTGACAGATAAGGTTAAGAAGAAATTTAGGATAACTCTCTCCAACAATTATTCCCTAAATCACTTCTTGAAGTTACCCCTGAAGCACGTAACAGCAGGCATTTTCAGATGCAGGATGATGGAAAAGGGGGATTCCCAATCACATTTAGGATGGCAATGCCCTCTTTTCGTGCAGATTACACAGGGGAAAAAAAGCACACATTTGGCTTTATTTACTTTCTTCCCCATTGCTGTTTTGGATCAGTTTACTGTGAACTAAAACCAGATGAGACAGAACTTGAGAAGACAACCGTGACCAGAAG